CTGAGGATGTCATTGCTTGACTTGAAATTTGTTTCTTGAATGCCGATGATGTCTAATTTGTCAAAATTGTAGTAGTTAATTAATGCTTGTTGTTTGTGTGGTTGGAGAAATGAACGAATATTATGAGTTGCGATATTAATATGAGGAAAATTATCGAACGAAGGATTTTTTAACATGTTGTTAAAAGAATTAATTGTATTCGTGTTATTTGAGCTACTAGGGCTAACTCTATTGTTATTCTTTGTTATATTAATCATTAAAGGTATTTGGGTAAGGGCGGGACGAAAATACCATTCACATCTTTGGTATAGCTGGAGGGTGAGGTCACTTTAGCTATATCAATAAATGCAGCAAAGTCAATTTTAAGTTGAGTTTGGAAAAGACGTTGCATGTTCGCGATGGCCAGATTTGCGTTGTTTAATTTAGAGAAGTTGTCTTCCAAACTGGTTTTTAATGGGGCGTTTTCTTCTTTGAGATAGACGATTTCAATAGCTTATTTTTTAACTATATTATCTTTGATATTAGGGCCAACTACAAATTCATGTGCTTCTTCGGTTTCCATGCCATCTTCATTAAAGTGTTTGTTTAGTAGTTCAGCCTGGTGGGGTAAAAGTGTATCTATATTAAGAACTGATTCGATAGCTACAACTCTTTCAATGGTGCAGTGTATGTCACGATCCATCTTAGCTAACTGGCCTGCGATAGTTTTAAGTTGGTTTGAAATTTTGGTGAGCATATCAGGTTGTTTATTTTGACCGTTGTTGTCTTTAGGACTGCGGTAATTATAATTGTGCTCGTAGTCATCCGCCCAAGAGCTATGAGCATGGATACTTGCATCTAGAATTTTCTCACCCTTGTTATTCAGTGGTTGCTTGGGTTTGTTAGATTGAAAAATAGGGGGGATTTGGTTTGTTGATTGGTTGTTTGGGAGTAGCATTTGGCGGTTTGGGAATTGTCTTTGGATTTTTTGAGTCATTATTTTGGTTTGATGTGACATTGTTGGTTTGAATGGTTGTATATGGTATCAATTTGTTAGGATTAGATAGTTTGGGTTTGTTAATAGGAGCCTGATAATTGCGGAATTGTGCCGGTTAGAATCGTTGATAAAGTTGTTGTGTTTGCCGATCCCCAGGGGATGATCTTTTTTTATGACAATTTTGCGATTGGTGATCAGGTGTTTGGCAAATGAAGCAAAGCTTTGAATTCGGGTCAGCCCAGATCAGTCTTTTTCTATCAAGATAGAAAGTCTCTCCATTTTTAGTGGCATCCATTGTCTCTTTGTCTTTGAAGTAGAAGATAGCATATTGAAGGTTGCAGTAGTTGGCACGTGATTTAGGAATGACCCAAGCTATAGCCTTGATTGCATTACCAATCGAGATAAGGTGACGGCCGTTGGTATTGAGAGGTAAGTTCGTAAGTTTGAGGGAAAATTGGGATTTTTTCATGATATCTTCATTTGACATTGTACAAGGATGAACTTGGACAAGGTCTTTTAGGACAAAGTAGCTGTTAAGTTTATTCAGGGTGGTCATGTCTGTATTTTCTTCAAAGGTAATAGTAGCTTGTTGCCATAAGTTTTTGGTAGACATCGTACATTTGGTGATCTTCCTGAAAAAGGAAAATGTAGATCTTAAGTTTGATTCTGTAGTAGAGATCGGAATCTCAGTTACTCTGATCGACAAATCTGAAATGTATTTTGCGGCTGGTTTGATGATCAGGGGTGAAAACGTGTTATTGTTTAAACAAGGAATTTTGAGGGTGACTGCATGATTGGCTTCATCGCACGAGGTAAAACCAATTCGGACAATTTTTTTTTTGGGTCATCGGGGTGAGTGCGTATTGATGTACCAATGAAAGAGGCATAATGTGATGCGAATATATCACACGCCTCATTTTGTTTTTCTCGATTAGTTTTGGCTGGGAAGAAGTGTTCAGCGGCACAGTAGGCAAAGTAGATTAGGGCTTCCGTTTCTTGTTCAAGGTGAATACCACTTGCTTTATTTTTGTCGTTATCAAGGCCGTTTTCAGTAGTGTCAAAAGCTTGGTCGATATCTATTGGGATTTTTGGAGAGGATGAGGAAGTTTCAGGTGTTTTTCCTTTGTCGCTACGTAAACGAGCGGTTGTGTCAAGTTCTATATCAGAAAATGCGACATTTTCTGTAATATCTTTTGAGAACGAAGCTTCAGTTGTTTGAAGAAGTTCAATAAACTGTTTCTTAGCAGGTTTTTGCTGTTGGTCATTATTAGGAGAAGAAGAGCGAGTCTTGTTAGACTTGTTGTTGTTATTATTGTTTCCGTTTTTTTTTTCTGGTCATATTGAAATTGAGAATCAGCGGAAAGAGTTTTCTCAAAATATTATAATTATTTTTTATAACATTTTATAAATAATTTTATACTTATTATTTATGAGACAATATTTTTAATTTATAAAGATTATAATCTATTATAATAAAATTTTAAATTTTAAATTTTAAATTTTAATATTTTAATTAATTAATTAATAAATTATTATTTATTATTTTAAATAATTAAATATTAATTTTTATCATAATAATTAAAAATAATAAATCCTTTTAAATTTAAAAGTAGTAGATATTAATTAATTTATTTTTTTATTTATTAATTACAGTATATTATATTTAAAAATTAAAAAACTTTTTGATATTTAAACTTTTTTTTTTAATTTTTATATTATAATTTTATAAAAAAAAAATTTTTATAAAAATAATGATTTTTATGAAGCTAGTATAAATATTAACATTCATAATTCTAATATATTACAATTTTAATCTAATATTTTGATTATCAAATTTTATAAATTTAAAATCATATTATTTTAAAAAACTGAAATTCTAAAATTAAAAATCAGAATCTAATTTAATAATTTTTATTATATTTTAATTAAATTTATATTATATTTTAATCTTATTTTATTATAACTTATAAACATAAATTTTAATTAATATTATTTTGAAAATATATATTACATAATATTTTTAATATTATAGTAATATATCATTTTATTAAAATTTATTTATAATATATTAAATTATTTTTTTTTTAATTTTAATTTTATTATAATTCTAATTCAAATTCAAATTCTAATTCTATATAATAAAAATGATTTTTTTTTTTAAATTAATTTTAATTTAACACTAATTTTGATTCTATTCTAATCAGTATAATTTATATATATAATTAGTATATCATGTAATTTATATATTTTTTTTTAATTAAATATATATAAATATGCAAGTTTTAATATAAATAAATAATATATATTCTGATTAAGATTTTGTATTTAATAGAATTTTAGTATTAGCAAGATTTTTGAACTATTAAGATTATGTGATAATTAGATTATTAGATTTAGTATAAAAATATAATTTATTAGAATTATAAATATCAGTATTTTTATATGAATTCCAATTTTTATTAACATTTTAAAATCAAAATATTTATTAAAAAAATTATTGAATAATTATTATATAATAAATATTTTCAAGTTACTTACTATATAAATATAAATAATTATAATATAAATAATAAAAATAATTTAATTCTAGAAAATTTACTAAAAATTTAAGTTCTTAATAAATTGAAATTTTATTATAATTTATTCTTTGATTAATAGATTAAAATAAAATAAAATTTTAATTAAATTAAAATTTTCTAAAATCTAATATTTTAACAAATTTCTTATATATATAATTTAGTTAATTAAATTCAACTTATTTATTAAGAAATTTTAAAAATCATAAAAGAACATTTTTTATGAAAAAGTAATGACTAATGATTAGTTAGAAAAATTATATTTTTTATGATTTAGCATAATGTTATTTTTTACTAGAAAGTATATATAGATCAGATATTATAGATACATACTCTTTAAAATAATATATAGATGTAATCAGAAGATGATTTTCTGTATTTTCTGGAAACCACATAATATGGTTAATAATTTTTAAAATTTTGGCCTGATTTAGAATTTGCAATCATCGTAATGCTAGCCGACATTAAGTTTGGCCGGAATTTGCGAATCGTAATGTTGGCTGATCCAGAAAATCGTCCCTGGATGTGATCAAATGATTAGCAAAATAAAATAACAACTATTGCAATTGACGAAACGTGTCATTTCTTTATATCCACTTTGTTGTTTATATCTATTTTATTCATGTTTCGCAGTCAATATTAAACTTGGATTTCAAACAAAAGTATATTATATTTTGTTCTTTGCATTTACCGGTTGATGATAATCCCAAAAAGTTTAATAAATAGTAAAACCATATGATGTGTTTAAATTTTATTCAATAATATAAAATAATATTAAAAAAATTTTTTCAAATAATGAATGACCAGAAAATCTCAAAAAAAAAAAAGATATTATTTACAAAAAGAAATGAAATGAAAGAAATAAAACTAAGAAAAACTTAATAATTTCACCAACCAAAAGACAAGCGTGAAAATCCTTTTTGGATAAATTGATGATGATGAAAAATGATTAAAATGTAAACAATTTCCTATAACAATAATATGAATGATTATGATAAACTTATCATTCGCTCATTTCAACCATATATATACATATATACACTGTATATATAAGAATCATAGAATCATAGAAGGTAATATATAGTGGGATTTTTAAAAAGAGGATATTATTATAAAAATTTCCTTATGGTCTTCATCCCATAAATATAATATTCATCGGATGAGGGAGAATAATGATTATTAAATAAAGATGATTAAGAAAAGGAATACTTATTAAACTGAAAATATGAAATAATATATTCTCATTTTTTTTTGCGATGACCCGCATCTTGTGCCAATCAGAGAATTCAAAAAGCATTTTACTTCCCTAACAAGCATATAAAAAAAAAAAAAGATATATCATTTAATAATCCAAACTTCCGACAGTTCCTGGTTGATTGGTTGGTTGGTTGGTGGTTTCCACGCGCTTCTTTTTGGGAGGAGAAAAGCGATTTACGTTCTCATTATCCTTAGTCGTCCAAGTTGACGTCTTCCAAAGACTTCATAAACATTCGTTTGCCAACTTGTTGCTTAAGTTCGTCGTTTTCTTTTCGTAATAATTGATTCTCCTTCGTGATTTGTTTGTATTGAATCTTTTTAATTCCAAATTATCCGAAAAATGAAATGCATCAAATGTCAATGAACAAAGAGAAAAATAAAAAAGAGTACCCACATATAAACTTCGTATATGATCTTGAATAGAAAGTACCCGATTTACCTTTAGATCTTCGTTTTCTTCCTCCAGTAAAGTTAGTTCTGTCTGTAAACTCATCCTTCGTTGCGTGATCTCCAGGATCTGCTTTGTGAGATCATGCCTATCTTCCTCTGATTTTTTTGACTAGAGACAAATGTGCTATTATTTAGTACCTTCTCTTTTTCTTTTTTTATTTTGAAATAATTTATTCACATACTTTATCGGTGAAGAGCAATTCCAAGGATGATCGGCTACCATCAGCAGTACTTGTTGACATTCTTCGATGAGAATTTGCCTTCTCGGCCATTTCGATGGTTAGTCTTGTGATCTCTAAATTCGCAAGGTTAAGTGCATCTTCAAGCTGAGCGATCCTTTCCGAGAAACGGTCACGTTCTTCATCGAATTCTTCCGTTAAGATTTCACGTTCACGATTTGTTTGTTCAGCCAACTATAAAATCATCAAACATTTTAATTTAACTACCTAAATATATCAGGCAAGGATAACCGTATCGGGATAAACTCACCTTTGTCTGCCAATCTTTGAATTCTTCTTCCTTAGATACCAATTGATCTGCCATCCCCTGCATTTGATCTAAAATTGCAATAAAACTTTGATCAATAATGTTCACTAGATCCGAAACAAAATCTCACTCACATGAAACACTGAAATTTTCCCGATATGCATACCCCGAAGTGATTTATTTTCATCTTCAATATCATTGAACCTTGTTTTCTCATGAGCGATTTCATTATTCAAAAGGTCAAGTTTCGCGTAAGCTGATCTTAGACTCTTGCTCTGGTGGATATAAATAGGAAAGTAGGGATAAGTTCGGAGCATGTAACCAAAAAAGTAATAGTCAAGGCAGAGTCAGTTCTCAAGTTACACGACGCAGAATGAGCCAATTGAACAATTTAAGTAAACCCTGCATCAATTATCGACGTACCTTGTCTTTCATAGCTTTGTAAAGCTTGGTGATGTATTCTTTGAGATTTTTCGGATCATCCTTTTTTTTTTTTTTTTTGAAAAAGAATTTATTTCGATCAATTTTGTCTTTCAAGAGTAAATGAAAAAAAATATCATGCCATCCAAATTTAAAATTTATTTTTTGTGACATACTTCTGAACTAATTACAGTCGAATAATCGGCAAAATCCTCTTCACGTTTTGAGGTGACATTTGTGGTGTTTCTTCTGAATAGACCTCCCGTTCGCATTTTGTATTTAGGTCAAAGTCAAATTTGTAAAGGCAAGATAAAAAGAGGAGGTACTTTTTCAAAAAAAAAAAAAAAGGAAATAAACGGATAAAGCTGAGAATTATTTTTTTTAAAAAAAAAAAAAAAAAAGGAAGAAAAGAAGGTTTTTGTTAAGGGATGGTTTATTAAAGAATAAATTTTTCTTGTAGTCAACCTATTTTACAGATATCGTTAGTGTACTTCTCTTTTCGTTAGTGTTTATAACACAAAAAAAAAAAAAAAAAAAAAAAAAAAAAAAAAAAAAAAACATAAAAAAAAACCATTTAGTAAGGGAAAGAAAAAAAAAAAAAAAAAAAGGAGGGGAATGAAAA